TTTTTTAATTAGGGTCCAGATGCTGAATATTTCGAATTATTAAACCATACAACAGATTCCCGAATTTCTAACTCATATGATTCTAAATCTAAAAACATTAAATCCCTACATCTTATAAGTCGTTTCACATTAGATCGTGAACGTAAATCCGAGTATCGATTAATCCTTTTAGCTTATGATCAATCTGAACAGTCTAAATTACGTAATACAGCTCAATTACCAATTAGCATTTATATTAAAGAAGTGAATGAATATGCACCAAAATTCAATTTCGGTATTAATATTACTAATCAACAAGGTAATACTATTCGACAACAACTATTGAACACTGATCACACATTTATTGGACATTCTAATCGGTTTCATCCACAAGTACAAATTAAATCATTTTCATATGATTCCAAATTGATTGTAGGTGAACAACAAAACCAAGACCGGGTCGAAGATAACAATCATATTAAATTATCAGATTCCAATTATTTAATTCTTGGATTACCTGAAGATATCAATGTTGGGAGTCGAATCTATCGTGTACAAGCAATTGATTTTGATTCAATTGATTTCTCTACGATTAATAATCCATACCAATCTTATCAATCAACACATCCTAAAATTACTGTACATTATTTTATTGCACAAGAAACTGATCTCGGAGTTAAACATTATTTCCGTTTAGGGAAAGAAGATGGTTGGATAATATTGATACAACGATTAGATTATGAATCTGGTCCACGTAATTATATATTGCCTATTGTGGCAATCGACTTTGGACGTCCACAATTGAGTAGCACACTAACACTTACTATACAAGTATTAGATGTCAATGATGAAGCTCCGAGTATTACTATACGTGGTATTGAATCGACTAATATAAATCATAATAATTATCAACGTACAATTGGACATTCAACAATGGACAGTTTTAATCCTACTCATTTTCAAATATTAGCTGTAAGAGAAAATTCTCCTATTGGTACTTTTATCGCAAAGGTATGGAAAAGTGATACTTTATTTGTGTATGAATAGTGTTTGTTTTCATGTTTTACTCGGCCAGTTTTATTCACCGAGTTAATCATAGACTGCTCGAATGTTTATTTCTTCTGTAATTAGCTATTCACTATTCATCGTAAAAAAAACAACAACAGCATAATGGACACTGGATTAAATTTACCACTAAATGGAACTTCGTGAAACAATGACTTATAATAGTGAAATTTAATTTGATTCTTGCAATAATGTAATATTACACAAACGAACACCAAAATCATTGGTCAGTGAATACATCATTGTTTTGACTGAATTATTTGTTTCACAAAAGAGCTCATTAGTTAAACAATTTGTAATGTTCAACCTTTGATATGTTTGGGTTTAGTTTGAAAGTACTTTGTATGTTGAGGAATTGTGAAGACCGGTATGTTAAAGAATCTGAAAGTGTAAAGAATAAGAGAAAAATCGAGCTGAGAAATCAATAAACATACAGAATGCATTTACATTTAATGATGAAAACAATCGGTAACAATCTGAATTAAATCAAGTCTGAGATTAACAGAATCTCGAAAATTGATATTAGAAGTTAATAGTTTAAAGTTTCCTATGCGTCATCGATTGATATTTTTTTCATTATTCAATTGTCTATATGATAAAATTTATTCTTCACTGTTATTAACTTAATATGTTTATTTGACCGTTTATTTGACCAGTTCTTCGGTATATAACATCATAAACGGATTTGCTACATTCACTCGTACATTAAACAATTTTAGAAGACTTGATAGCACCACTAATGGTGAGATAGACATTGTTTTACGTCTTGTAATTGATAAAACTATTTCAGAATAAATTTTCAATAAATATTCGAAATTAATAATTGAATTTCTTGAAAGTAAACATTTTTAATTCAGTTTCGGTTCATTAATCACTGGAATAACATCATAATTTGCAGTAGTAGATACCAGTAGCCAGTAGTTTATGCTAGTGTTCATTTAATGGAGTAATTTCACATAATAAATATTTATTTTCATTGGAAATAAGATGTTATTGAAATGACCTATGAACTAATAGACAAATACTTTCTTCATAAGCAAAGGTGGATGGTGGCTATCAGTGGAATCCAGGACTCGTCAGCTGGATGTATCTGCATCCTAGAATTGACGGTCACTCTGGGACTCGAACCCAGTATCATTCGCTTCAAACGCCACCCCGTTATCCACCTATCTAACGAGTCCCGATAGCCACTGGCTCAAGTCCAAGAATATACACCGACTATAGGCTGCAGGCATATCCGGCTGACCAGTCCCAAACAGGACGAAACGCGAGTCCTGGATTCCACTGTTAGCCATCATCCACCTTTGCTTATAACGCTTGTGACTTAAGGCATCCGACTTACGATGCACATATCCCAATAAGAGGCTGATCAATTAAAGTCCTAAACATCTATGGGAAGATTTAAACAAATAATACAAGATCAATTTAAATACTTTTTTCGTTTTTGAGAATTCTTATAGAAAGTCGGATATTACTTCTTCCAAATTTCGGTCTATAACTTCTAAAATTATCGAAAAGTAAAATATTGAAAAGTGCGATTCCATTAAATCGAGTGTCATCCCGACTATATATCAAGTTAGCGCACAATAAATGTATGATTTCAGGTTTTTATCAAAGCTCAGTATCATCGGAATCCTTTCAAATGTCATTCTGTTGTTTTCACAATGTATTTATCTTTGAGCTACTTAAATCTAATTCAGTAATGTTACGTGTTTTTCTGAATTTCGCATATTGTTTAACAACAAAATAGGTGTCTGCTAGAGATCGAGATACAGGAGCTTCAGGAGAAGTGGAATGCTACTTAAGTGAAGCAGATAACTTTGGTCGAAGAACTCAGGAATCTGGTAGTTCACTTGAATCGGATTACTTAAAAGGTCTTCAAAATTTTGCATTACATCATGTTGAAGATGATCCAATTCATTCAGCCACTATAACAAACAACATTGAATCAACAGTATCATCCAGTTATATTCAACACAAACAGTCCAGTGTATTAGGACGTCATGATACTGAGTACATACTTATGACAAAGACAATTTTAAACAGAGAAGTTAAAAATTTCTATTTTATTTATCTTACATGTCATGATCATGTTGAAAAAAAATCTTACTTGAGTTATTCTTTACAACCCAATAATAATAATATGCCTTCATCAACTTCAACAAAACGTCTTTCTTCAACAAAATTATTAAAAATCAATATTTTAGATGAAAATGACAATGGACCACAATTTGATCGTTTACGTTATGAAGTGAAAATCTTAGAAAATTCCATTGAAAATACTGAATTAATTAAATTAAATGCGATTGATAAAGATGAAGAAAGTCATATAGGTTATCGATTTGTTCAAGTCACTGATCAATTTATACAAAATTATACAAATTTAAATTTAAGCACAATTTATGCACATTTTAAAATTGATTCAATATCTGGTAGAATTAAAACAACGAATGTACCATTAGATAGAGAAGTTAAAGATTCAATGATAATACCTGTTATAGCATATGATGATGAATTTCCAAGTAGAACATCACATGCATGGATACATGTGGAAATAGAAGATGTGAATGATAATGTACCAAAATTAACAGGGAATACAACCTTTTGGATAGATGAAGAAGATACAACTATGGAACATTTGATCAATGGTGTTAACCATAATCGAAGCAGTAGTAGTAGTACTACAACTTTAGGTACAAGACAATATCATTCAACAAATCACCACATATTTATTGGACGTTTAAATGGTGAAGATTATGATATTGGAGAAAATGGAAAAATCATTTTTAAATTAGGCTATGAAAATCAATTTAATATTAATAGTCCAAAATGGTTTTTACGTTCAGATGGTAATCTATTTGTTCAATCAATTAGAATGTACAATGATAGAAATATGAATAATAATTATCATTATTTAGATCGTGAAAAAACACCTTTTTATGAAATACCAATTATAATTAGTGATTTAGGTAAAATCCTACTTTATCTTCAACAGTAACCATTACAATTAGTTTAAGAGATGTGAATGATAATTCACCAAAATTTTTAAAACCATCATATAATAATAATTTAAATCTAAGTCATATTCTTGTTGGTAATGATAATACTCGATCAACTTTAAATGATCCCAATTTGAAAACATTAACTATACCAACTGAACGAATTAATATATACAATATAGATAATACAAATCCTGGTACATTAATTTATACAGTTCATGCAATTGATTTAGATGATGGTGATAATGGTAAAATTATATATAAACTTGAAGCATATGAAGGATATTGGCAATTATCATATAATTCATATCAATCATTCAATAATATTAATCATCATCATAATAAATCATTAAATAATTATTTTATTATTGATCAAATTTCTGGTGAGATACGAATTAATCAATTAATTACTAATGAAAATTTACAAAAAATACCTAAAAGTTTAATTATTTTAGCTGAAGATTGTGGGATACCATCAAGACGAAATTATGCTCTATTATATATTGATTTTATAAATGAAAAACAAAATAAACAAATAATGAACAATAATAATCATTATCATGATAATTCATTATTAAATATCAATCATAAAAACATAAAAACTAACTTAGATACTATTAATCAATTAATTAATTCATCAACTGATTTGAATGATTATCATAAAAATCAATATATGGGATTCTATTCAAATAGGAATATCAAAATCCATGGTAACAATAATAATGCTAATCGTAATAATCCACAATTGAAATTATTGGATAGTGATAAACAACAAATAAATCATCATCATCATCATCATCAATCAAATTTATTATCTACATCCAAATGAAATATACTCAATCAATGAATAAAAAATTATCATTCAAATCACCATCATTAATTCAATTACAAAATGATAATAATAATGATTTAGAAAGATTAATACCAATTTATGAAAATTCTATAAATACTGAACCAATGGAAATCATTAATCCATATCAAAATAGTACTGAATTAATTACTGGTTTAGGTATTGGATTAGTAATTATTATTTTAGTATGTTTATTATTATTAATAACTTATGCTTTACATGGTGTACAAACGATTCGATTAAATAGAAATGGACTTCATATTGATCGTAATAAGTTACATAATAACACTATGAAACAATATCAATATAAAAGTGGTGAGTTTTTTTTTGTGTGTGTGCATGATATGAGTTTAGAAAATGGTTTTATTGAGTAAAAATAGTTGATTTCTTTTTGATATGGTAGGTGCTACTGATGTCGATGGATATAAGTAGTATAGATTATCAATTGAAAGTGAAGGTTAAAAAGATCAGAAAAAAAAGTGAATGAGAACAACGAATGATTGGTGTAGAATTGAGAGAACAATGAAATCTAAGATAATCGATTGACAATTTGCAAATGAAGTATTTACTGTATGGTTCTCAGATTTTATTAAGGGATTCTGTAATTTTGTGTTCAAATACATTCGATTGTCTCAACTTGCGTTCTCATTCACTAAAATAATATTATTGTTGGTGAAATAACAGTGGGAAATTTATGGTTAAACAATTTAACTTAAAGTAAACTCAATAGATTTAAATTTTCATCATGAACAACTGATACACTGGATTATCTGAGGAATTATATTCATGATTAGATTTTAATTCCTAAGATACTGATTACAATGAAGAGTTTTCAGCATGAATTTTCTAACAAATCCCCATCTTATTCTCATTTGACCTGTGAATATTTAATCAGAAATATCTTTGTATTTAGAAGTATTCTTCAATAGTGATTAGGTGTCAGCTGTTTAATAACACTTACAGTTAGTTTAGCTCTCATGAGATTTAGGGAGAGAAAGACCGAATGCACTAAGGACACTGAGAAAGATTCTGAGCGATGTGAATTAAAATTTTTGACCACAGTTATTGATAATTGTTCACACTCAAATCAAATAGTCTGCATCTACCTACACAAGTCAATCCAACGGTTACTGACTTCATGGACTGATGCCACATTTGATTTGGTCACTGTTAGCCTTCTTTTACCCTGCTCATATATCAGCTTTCCAACCAAATTAAGAAATTCTGACTATTGATTTAAATCTCAATGGTTTAATAGTGGTTGAAGGAATCTTAAATGTTAAGCAACATTTAACTAGATATCATTCATAACTACATTATGATGTTACATTACCAAGTTAATAAATTCCATAGAAATTGTTCATCGTCGACAGCTTTTTATTATTCTGATTATTTCCAAAACTTCTTGTACGTCGATTTAAATTCTTGTTATATTAAATAAATTATAACGCTGTTCAAGGTATTCGTTCCCTATAAAATTTCAAAGTTCGTTTGTCAAATAGAGATGAGTTTATCTGTAACGTTTTATTTATGTTGTCTTCAGGAATTTCGCCCATTTTTCGGCTCATTAAGAGACTCATCGCTGCGTACTAGAGTGTTATTTTCATTTTCAGTTCATGTGGTTATCCACATCTGGCTGGTATTGAAATATCAACTAGAACTAATGATTTGTAGGTGTCATTACCAAGGTTTGATTTGATAATTTCGAATAAATTGAGCATTGGGTTGATTGTTATAAATAAAAATAATATATTTGTAATATCCCAATGAGTAGAAAATTGGATTTTTCTGACGTTTCGTGGCTTAGTGTAAGTCACTTCTTCAGAGAATAAATAACCAAATTAAAATTAATCCAAGTTTAAATAGTACAATGGAACAATGCAAGAATAATATTTGATCAATCAAAAACAGGTCTGGACAAGTTGATGTATGTCATTTCTGTCACGGTGATTCATAAGTGATAAGTATGTAAATTTGTGTATGTATGTGTGTGTGCATTGTTAAAGAATGAAAACTGTGTGACCTATATGGTAAGAAAGGATAGAGTTTAAATTTGTAATATGATAGTGTGAAATTGTAAATACGATCAGACTGAATGGTTAGGATAGATGGTCCAAGTAGGATGTATGGTAAGGCCTTCTTTTCTATTGAGAGAAGTGGGATTAAGCATTATATGGAATGCCTCAGCTACCCTCCTTTCTTTGTAGTTGGAAAAGCCTTTTTGCAATATTTTGATATTTTTAAAATCGATTTGGTGGTTGTTGAAAATGGCATGAACTGCTATTGCCGATTTAATTTGAAGTTGGTTCAGTTCTACAGGATTGTTAGGAGGTTTCTTTGTGTACCTAATATGTTCTTTGGCTCTAGTCAAGATTTCGCGGGATGACTCTCCAATATAATAGGCATCACAATCGATACAACCTAATTTGTAGACGCAGTTCTGTGTGGACATGAACGGGATTTTTTCTTTCAAGCGAACTAAAGTATTACGTAGTGTGTTCGTTGTTTTGTAATACACTTTAATTCTGTGATGTTTTAAGATTCTTTGAATTTCTTCTGTTGTGCCATGACGGTATGGTAGGACTACAGTGCCAATCCAAGGCATTTCATTCGAATCATTATTATAATGTAATAAACTGTGTTGTTTTAATATGCTTCTAATAATCTTCATAGGAAAATTATTAAATTGTAGGATGCTAATTATATTCATTTGTTCTTTTTGTTTGTCTTCCTCTGATGTGATGATCTTGTTAGCTCTTCTAAAAAGATTTAAGGCTAGCGAGATCTTAGCACTGAAAGGATGTGCTGAATGGAAGTCAATATAACGATTTGAATGCGTCGGCTTTCGGTAGATGGATAGGTTTAGACTTCCATTTGGATTGATCAAATATTATTCTTGCATTGTTCCATTGTACTATTTAAACTTGGATTAATTTTAATTTGGTTATTTATTCTCTGAAGAAGTGACTTACACTAAGCCACGAAACGTCAGAAAAATCCAATTTTCTACTCATTGGGATATTACAAATATATTATTTTTATTTATCAACTAAGAACATTTCAATATATCAGGTGAAAAACAGATTTGCTGAACATTTGGGGTCGAAACGAAGTCTTTGATGATGATCACACTCTAATATGCAGCATTTGCTTACGCCTGTTATTCCTCGTGGAGTATGGATCTCTGATCAGCAACTCACTTACTTAATGAACAGATAAATGACTGGAAATCCTAAATACAACATACTTCGGTAAATTTGTAAACATCGAGGATAAACTTAGCCTAAAATAATAAAGTGACTAATTAAAATGTATGTTTCTGAGTATATCTGCGAACTTATGAGTGATAAGAATTAGTAACTTGTTTGTATTGAATTGTATTTGGATAAAATTTGTTCATATTAATTTACTCGTTGTTCATCGGTCAGTAACATACTACTTTCCATTGCAATTCTCTTTTTTAACACCTTGTTTTTATTAAATAGCATTTTATATATATCTTAACCACAGTCCTGTACTTATTATTGACTTACTTCCACCAAAGAGATTTTTTAAAAATTGTACTGAAAGGCCGCTCGTAATCAATGAAGTGAACCAAGTCAGAACCAATTGGGAATATTCATCAACAATAACATTGTAATAATGATTACAGTGTGCTTCAAACTGAGACTGAAACTGGAACTATCGTATTTGAACCCATAAGCTAAATGACTACATGTTTAGTTAGTTTGATTGTGTATGGGTACTCAGTGGTTTATACTAGTGAGGGGTTTCTAAATCTTAGCAAAGTATTCATTGGTCCTAACCAATGCTTTAGTTAATTTGTACTTACGTATTGATAAGTATTGTAATTAAACGATTTGACCCTTGCTTCTTATTAGCTTTCTACTTCTTAGAAAACATCTTTTATTGAATCCCAAACAGAGAACAGAAGACAGGAAGTATGGAATAAACTTTCTTCGAAATTCAATGTATGCTCAGAAAACAAGGGTAGTGGTGTGCTTTAGACTCAAACATTTTGGAAAACATATTAAAATTGATTAGGAACATCGATAATTGCCCAGCCATATTAACTAAAACATTATTCATCATTTTCTAAATTTCTCTTTGAAATTTCTGAAGAATGCTGATTAGTCGGACTATTTTCAGTTTTTTCCTAGCATCTGGGATCTTCAATGAAATACTGAGGGGTTTTAATATATATTTATATATATGATTAATTTCGCAGTGATTCTTTATAAATTTCAATGCCCTGGTATGTCTGAGAATGGGGAGAGTCCGTTCTCCCTCGCGAAATGCTCTCACATGGCCACGCGTATATAGCCTCTGCCAGGGAAGTTCTACTCACTGCCTTCTCGTGGCGGGGTGTTGTTTACAAAAATGAGAGGACGAAAAGTGAATGTCCGGCGCTTTAACCGGATTCCAAACCAATGGTGCACATGGGCTCCAGTATCCTGTAGGAACAAATGGCGTATGAACCAATTGTTGGTCACCGGCTCCCATGGGACTGCAGCTCCTTACGTTTCTCCACTGCCTTGTGGATCAAACCTTCAGGTCGAAGACTCGGGGAATGGCCCCCTAAGAAAACCACCTGGTTCGGTTTTGGCACCCGTGCAGTATCACAGCCCCCACACATATCAAGTGAGATTTGTGTGGCGCATATTTATTTGGTGCCTCCTTGTACCAATATCTGTGTTAAAATAAATGATTATAAACAAATCAATGAAATCTTCCATTTGATACAAGTTTATTTAAATAATTTTTAATTTGTTTTCTTGTTTCTTATGCATTTTTCAGATAAAAGCAACAATAACAATCATAACATGAACAATCAAATCGATGGAAAAAACAACGATCATACCAGTAAATGGAAACATTTCTGTAATGTTATACAATTGGTCATCAACCGTAATCGTCCGTTGGTAAGTTATTCTCTGAGTATATTTAACATTAGTACTTCAAGTATTACAGAGAGATAATTTTATGAGAATAATAGACGAATTCAAAATTCACTTTATCACAAGTGTTTTTCTCAAAAAAGGAAAATCCTTTTCATTAATCTGTTATTGATTGATTAAAATCGAATTTAGGTTTATTGTGTTTAATATAGATTGGTTTGCATAAAGGATACAAGTGAGTAGCTATGTGAACTCGGTAGCTAAGTGAATAACGCGTGGGCATTTGATGTGAAAGGTAATGGGCTCGAGTCTCATAGTGAACATCAAATCTGAGATACAGGTACATCCAGCTGACGAGTCCGAATTAGAACAAAATGCTCCACGTCCAATTTTTTCTATATAAAACATAAAACATACCAGTCAAATTATTATTATTCTAATTTATTCATCGATCCATTTCGTCAAAAGGCTGCTGCTACACTGATCGTCTTCTCCTGCATTTGTTGTTGCATGTGCGATGGAAGAGCCAGATCATCTGCGAAGTCTAGATCATCTAACTGCATCCTAGATGTCCACTGTATCCCATGCTTCCCTTCACATGTTGACGTCTTCATGATTCAGTTGATCACCAGGAGAAAGAAGAAGAGTGAGAGTAAACAACCTTGCCTGACACCGGTCTTTACTTCAAACGAGTTTGTCAACTGTTCTCCATGCACAATTTTGCAGTTTAATCCATCATAGGAATTCTGTATAATATTGACTATCTTCTGAAGCACATCGTAGTGTCAAAGAAGCCTCCATAGAAAAATTATGAAATTATAAATGCAATAATTTACACAGTATTAATTGTTTCACATATTTATTCTTAGTAAAATTATAATAAAATGAATATCTATTGTCTATTCAACTGTGAATAACAAATTTAATTGACTAACTGAATGAACTTTTCATTCATATTACACCTTCACACTAATAAACAATTTAAGTAGGATAAATTTTATAATTTATCAGTTAAATTCAATCTTATCATTTTACAGATAAATTATTTTTTCAATTTAAATGATACATTTAAAATTGTATCAAATTGTGAATAGATTGTTTTATTGAAGTTTTAAAATATTGAGATTTTTAAAAAAATGATGGCAACATTTTTAAAATTGTTAAACTAGGCGCGGTTTCTTTTTGTCAAAGTAAAATACTGTCTATGGTGGATAGTGGCTAGCAGTGAAATCCAGTTTGACGCGCGTTTCGTTCTATTTAGGACTTGTCAGCTGGATGTACCTGTATCTCACAGAGTTGATGTTCACTCTGGAACTAGAATCCAGTACCATTCGCTTCAAACGCCATCGCGTTATCCACTCAGCTACTGAGCCCTAATAGCCACTTGCTTGTGCAAGCGTCCTAGATTCCACTGCTAGTCACTATCCATCATTGCTTACAAATAGCTTGTGAATTAAGGTAATATCGAGGCATACGCACAGTATGCACATATGCCAATAACAGACTGATCAGTTGCAGTCTTAAACCTCAATGGGAAGATACAAGCCAAACAATATCAAGTGAATTAAAATACTATATATTTCAAAGTTAAATGTTCAGTTGTTTTATTGGGTATAATTTTTTTTAAAGTTTAAATAGATCTCAACGTCTTTTTTTCGGAGGGTGGGTATTTAATTCATTTACATCAACTAGATATTGTTAGTATTAGATAATGTAACGGTTAGAATTGTTGACTTTGTCTTGGATAACCTCGGTTAGACTCTTAGAGTTCGAATGTTTTTATGCCAAAAGCCATTATTATTATGTCTTTACTAGGAAAAGATAGTATTTCTAATTCAATCTAGCCTTGTTGTCGTTTTTAAATCAGATATTCCGCGAATATTTTCAATAGTTTCTTATGAACATCGTTATTATCATTAAAAAAAACTGGAAATTTGTAGAAAATGACAAGTTTACAGACCAGTTTACACAACTTCTTGACTTTAGCTAGATAAACACTAAAAATCGAACTTTTCAACAGTCCTCATTGATGACCATCCAACCAGTGGTCAATGGGAGGATATTTACACCTCATGATGAACGCATTTACTAATCTAAAAATATAGTATGGCGTTAAATCTTTATGCTGTCAATGTGTTAACAGTTAAAGTCATTATTGTTGATTAGTAAACATTATAAAACAGTAGATAATGAATGTTCAAAAGTTTACAATAATTCTTTCAATCGACTAATACTTTCCATACATTGAACAAATGTTAGTGTTTTGACAGACAGCAAAATGATAATTTTGAGATGGTGGAGAAGATTTATAGCTTAGGCGAATGATTTTGATGGAGTTTTGTTCTCTGAGCTAGATGGTATGGTTTAAGGTCAACAAAAACTAATCAACATCGAGGTCTACAAGATAAGCTATGAACCACATGTAGCGAAATTCGAACACTTCACTTCTACCAGAAGTTTGTGCTGATGATGTCGTTCCGAAGAATGATGTAAGCTTCACGACGAAACTATACAGCTCAGAGAATAAAACTCCATCGAAATGATGATTAAACACTGATTATACTAGTTGTATAGTTATTAGTTTATAACTCTTCCTACCAAACAATATATCATTTGATTGATAATAAACATTATTATCTAAGATAAAATCTAAGAAAAAAGACGATAACTTTTAACTTGAAATATATATATATATATATATATATATATATATATATATATATACTGTACATTATTGATTTTTTAGAATAATGAAACAATGCCGAAAAGTATTAAAACCGTGGACTCTTCAAAATCATATACATTAAATCAAGATAAAAGTGAGTGTAACCTTTGTAACGTTAATTTGTCTTCTAAATGATCTTTCTAATTTACATAAATACGGAGTACTGTAGTGCACGAATACTCGGGTGAGGAAGATCAATTTATTATTTGATGCAAAATCACAGAGTTTTCTTCATAAAATAAAACATCTTCTATCAGTTGTCTCTTAGAAACTTCATTGTTCCTTCATTTCTGTTATTATTAAAATTGCTATCTATTTACATTTCTGTTTTATTTGATTTAATCTCCTCAGTGTTTCTGTTGACAGGCGTTCCACTTTTGTTTGCTGTTATATACTGCTTATGTCTGCCGACATATATAGCATACACCATAGTATAATAATTTAAGTAAAAACAGAACCTTTAAAATGATAGAGACTTGTATCTCAGGTGAATGTTTTTGGTAGTGTTGTAATCTTTGAACTAAATTGATTAATGGATAAGGTTTGGTTGTTTTGTTCTGAATAAAAAATTATCAGCGGTCACTTTGTACAGAAGTGAAAATTTTTAGTTATTCCATAATTGTTATATTCATTCATACTGATGGTCTTGTTTATAATTCATTTTGTTGTCTTCATTTATTCTGGACTATGTTAACAGTCTCATATAGAATTAGTCAACAGAATTATGTCGAATCCTTTAGTTCGAAAAGCTAATGACTTGAATTGTATTATAACATAGGGCTATCAGTTACTATAATTATATATTATCTTTCTAGGAATTGTCTACTAATCATTTATAGTGTTTATATTTTACAGATAAATCATATAATGTGCTCGGTATGACAATGGATATACCATTTTCTAATGATTGGGAAAGTGTTCATAGTGAATTTAACCCAGCCAATCCAAATCAAAAGCAGATTAGTAATGATAAAAAGCTTAATTATGCTAACAAAACTATGAATCATCAATGTATCTGTCCACAAATAAGCACATTTGTACCTGTAATGAATTCTGTTGAAATGGATACAATGTGTAAACATGATACTTGTGAAATTTCACCTAATGATACAGTTAATACTGTTGGTAATACAATTACTACCAAACATAATCAACCTTTACAAACAAATATTTCACAAGATGAATCACAACCACAATTACATAATACTAGTGATGGTAATAGTAATAATATTAATAATAATGAACCTAACAGTAATCGTTATCCACGTATTTATACTGTTTGTACAGACGGTATTCTACCAATATCAGATTATATGACATTAAATCTTCCAGATAATCATAGTCATTATGTTAAACATTTGATGCCGGCAAATTGTCATTTTTTAACAAATAATATAGACTTTCATAGATCCAATATGACTGTACCAAAAGTTTCATTTCCGCATAATGATGATATTTATCTTCATCGTCATCATTATCATCATCATCAACAACATCATGAGCCGTTAATGAATACATCAAATGAATTGCATAATCAATCTCTTCTTCTTACTCAAACTCCTGTAACCTATTCTTCTTCATCATCATCATTGAATTATTGTACTTCACCAGGACAATATTGTCGAATACCATCAACAATAAATAATAGTAATAAATTATCAAATTCATTAAAAAATTGTACAAAACAACATGTTATGATAAATATATCAAATGATCAAAATCAAATAAATATTGTGAAAAGTACAGAACAAATAAATAAGATGTTAAATAATATAAATCAACAAAACATTCCAGAGGATTCTTTCAAGGCGAATTCCTTGAAATCGGGCAGTTTTGTATAACAATAATAATAATAATAAGTACTATTATGATCATGATTACTCTGTCATTACAGTTTTTCTCTGTGAACATATTCACTATTGTTTTCCATCATTTTAATCTAATGTTAAATCATATTCATTGAATTAAGTTATTTAAGGTAAAAGAAAAAGAACAAACAAACAACCGTTTAAATATTTCAATATTCAATGTATCAACAGGGTTTTTTAATTGTTTTGTTTTATTTACCTTCTTCTATTCGTCCTTCATTAAGCACAAAAAATGTGTTCTTTTAAAAAACTTTCGTCATTATCTTTAATATATCGAATGGAAATATATATATGTATGTGTTTGTCTATTTGTTCGCTGTTTTGTTTTTTGATCATGGCATTCATAACGTTGTATTATTTAAATGGTAAAAATTTTGAAATAGGTTTCTTTGTAAATGGGATTCTCAGCAATAATATGAATACTATAACCTGTTTGTGTTTTGCTTTTGATGGAGTTTTGTTCGCTGAATTGGATGGTTTGATCATAGAGCTTTCATTATTATATCATTAACATAAACTTTAGATAGAAGTCTCATCAACTGAAGATACAAATTGTTTCCACTACCCCTTGTTTTGTATTGAATACTTTCACGTCTGATAAATGAAGTGAAAATTTATTGATAACTTATAATATTTCATTAACGGTCTGCTGTTTAGAACACTTAGCTTTTAATTAGCCAATAGCATGTAAAAAATTCGCCTGTAACTCTTCTAGGGTTATTGTCAGTATCAAGACCGTATAAAGAAAGAAGGTTGTGAATGGGGTCAGAAACCTCAACCAGTAGAAAACAATCTTGTTAAAGAAAAATGCTAACCAGAATAAATAAATTAAACCACATAAATCCTGACCTGGGAGTTGAAGGATCTTCAGTTAGAAGAATTGTGACTCTTCATGGTGAAAGCTGATATTCTTCGAAAGTTACAAGGCCAATGCCACTTCTGGCAACCATAGCAACAACTAATGTAAATACATGAAATGTCCGAACAATGTGGGAAATCGGGAGGATCTATCAAATAGCTACAGAAATGAAGATATACAACATAACAGTTCTCGAAATCAGAAAAAAGCGATTGGGCCCAAGCTGGACAGCAAAAACTAGATACGGGAGAGATGCTGCTGTACTCTGGTCACGAAGAAGAAAATATTTCACACGCTCAGGAAGTTGCTCTGATGCTGTCATAAGAAGCATATAAAGCACTTATAGGATGTAAATCTCATGGCTACGGGATCTTTAAGCCAACCTTCAAAACAAGGAAGGAAAGAATCACGATGAATGTTATCCAATGTTATGCACCCACCAATGATAACAACGACAACAATAAAGATCACCTCTACTAGATGCTGCAAGCAGTCATAGCGAAGTACCCAAGAAAGGATCTCACCATCCTGTTAGGATACCTAAGCGCCAAAGTTAGAATGGACAGCATCGGATATGAAGATACCATGGACGATATAAGACCGACTGGGAAAAAAACAAAGACAGTGGTGAGAGTTTCGCAAATTTAAGTGCACAATATTCCCACACAAACCCATACACAGAGCTAAATTGGTCCCATCGGACCACATCACACAGCACCAGACAGATCATATTTGTATCAATAAAAAATTCAGAAGGTCAATAGAAGACGTGAGAACCAGGTTCAATACAAACTTCCTTCAATATACTAACAAACTCAACGAATCCAAGATAACTCCAAACAACAGGTTCTAAGCCTTACAACATCTACTGAAAGAAAAAGAAACCACCATGATGGACAATTGGAAAGGGATCGAAGAAACACTAAGTTCAACATGTCAGGAGGGTTTGAACTACAAAAAGCATCATCATACAGAGTGGGTCTCTATCGAAACCGTGGACATGATTCAAGAAAGGAAGAAGAAGAAGAAGGAGAAAGCAATTAACAGTAGTCGATCAAGAACAAGGAAATTCAAGACAGAAGCTGAATACACAGTAAATAACAAGCGAGTGAAGAAGAGCATTAGAGCCGACAAACAGAATTATGTGGAGGACCTAGCGATGACAGTGGAAAAGTTGCAAGAGAACGAAATATGAGACGACTATATGGCACAATGAAGAAACCAGTAGCAAAATATTGTAAACCAGAGAGACCGCCGAGGAACAAAGAAAGAAATCTAATCACTGGAATTCAGGAATAGAGGAACAGATGGGTAGGAAATTTTGAAGAATTATTGTATAGACCAACCTCAATGAACCTACTGAACATCGAACAGAACCCACAGACCTTTTTATAGCTGTCACTCCACTAATAGTTGAAGAAAACAGGATGTCCACCAGACAAACCAAGAGTTGGAAAGCAGTAGGAACTTATAACACACTACCTGAAATACTGATGTCAGGGATAGAAGTAACTGCAAACATGCTCCACATTCTATTCAGGAAGACTTGGGATGAAGAACAAGTGACGATGAACTGGAAAGAAGGACGCCTCACCAAGATACCAAAGAAATACAGAGGAATCACACTAATGTCAGTACCAGGAAAAGTTTTCAACAGAGTGTTGCTCAACCGGACAAAACATTCAGCTGACGCCCAACTTCGAGATCAGCAGACTGGATTCCGTAAGGATAGATCGTGAACAAACCAAATCGCTACACTACGGATCATCATTGAACAATCAGTTGAATGGAACTCGTCACTGCACATAAATTTACCTGTCTGAGATGGCGTTTGACAGTGTGAGTAAGAGAACCGAATGAAAACTTCTTCAACACTATGGTGTATCTGAGATCATCAACATAATGCGGAATCCTTAGGACGGAGTACACTATCAAGGATTGCATGAAGGACAGCTGCATTTTGAGTGAGGACCCGAGTCAGACCAGGCTTCTTACTCTCCCCCTCCCTCTTTCTCCTGTTAGTTGACTGGATTATGAAGACCTCCACATCTGAGGGAAAGCACTAAATACAATGGACAGCTTAGACGCAACTAGACGATTTGGACTTTGCAGATGACCTAGCCCTTCTATCCTATGCACACTAAGAAATGCAAATAAAGACAACTAGTGCAACAGAAGCCTCTGCATCAGTAGGCCTCAATATACACAAGGGAATAAGCAAGATCCACGAATACAACGCGGAGAACATCAACTCAATCACACTTGGTGGAGAAACTCTGGAACAGGTGGAGTCCTCCACGTGCCTGGACAGCATTATCCATAAACAAGGAGGATCTGGTACAGACATAAAGGCGGTGGTTGGCTAAGCAAGGGCTGCATTCCTACAATTGAAGAAAATATAGAACTCAAAACAACTCTCAACTAATATCAAAGTCACAATCTTCAATATGAACGTCAAGACAGTCAGCTCTACTATACGGAGCTGAAACTTCGACAACTACCACAACCATCATCAAAATCGTACAAGTATTTATAAACAATTATCTACACAAGATACTCAATGTCCTTTAACCGGATACCGTCAGTAACAGCCTACTGTGGAAGAGAACAAAACAGCCTCCAGTTGAAGAAGAAATTAGGAAAAGACACTGGAAGTGGATAGGACATTATGCAAATCATCAAACTGCATCACGAAGCAAGCGCCAACTTGGAACCTTGAATGGAAACGGAAAAGAGAAAGGCCGACGAACACACTGTGTCGAGAATTAGAAGCAGATATTAGAAGAATGAATAGTACCTGGAAAGGATTGTTCATGACAGTGTTGGATGGAGAATGCTTGCTGGTGGGCGGTCTGTGCTCCTCAATTAGGGTTAACAGACGTAAATAAGTAATATACAAAATCCATTGCATATATTTCCGTTGGTCGCGGCCCGGATAGCTCAGTGGTAACGTCTCTGACTGTGAAGCTGGGTGACGCGGGATCGAATCCGCCAAGGAGCACCACTTCCCTCAAGATTACAGGTACACCTTGCTGACGAGTGCCAAGTAGCACGAAACCCGGGTCCATGGTTTCCTGTCGACTACCTCCAACCACCATCTAATGAATGTACAGCTTAGGTAAATGATTTCATCGAAAAGAAAATGTTCTTCTCTGAATACTCTACATTTTTACTCGATGAAATAATGAGATACATATTACACAAATTGTACTTATCAAATAATGTATGATTTCTAATTTATTTATATTTAAATAACACTATCAGTTGGTTATCTTATTTACACAAGAAGTAGAATATACATCATAAAACTAATTCTGCGTTTAAACGGCTAATTCCTGAATAAAGATGTATTGACAATGCTATTGTGGGTCTAATAATAAGAAGAGTTAAATTGTTATTCACTTTCAAAGCAGTTTAATAGAATATAGATAAAGAGCTTTCATTATTTTACATAAAACCATAAATGTGTTTAAAATATCAAAGTTAAAGAAGCTTCTCACCTATTTGAATGATACGACAATAGAATTTCATTAAATTCAACTAAACATCAGGATCGAATACTATTTTTTAAACTTAGATCAAATGTTTTATTCAAATTTATACCTTATACTGGTACTAGTCACTAACAATCATTGTCTTCAGATGTCTACATATGAATACCACATTAATATAAGTGGATGAAGTTGGATGTCAATCTAATGGCTTAGAGATTAAGCGTTCGTAAGTAAGATCATAGGTCCTGGGTTCAATTACCTGTTGCAAAGTCGTGAATACCCACAGGTAAGAAGTTTTATACTAGAAAAAACGAATATCCGTTTCTTCCAGGTTTTTAATGGTGGTCTAACTTCAACTGGTTCATGTTTTCAATGAAATTCAACAATTTCCACAACCCCTTACTGGTAAGATCAATACAGTGTTCAATATCTTATGATCAATAAATAGCCGACGACATATTATCTATAGGGTAACCATCAACTTTTGGTCGTTAGTACAGTGATACAATAATTTATGAATGAGTTAATTACATTTAAAGCAGTACCTCTTGGATTTTAGTGAAAACTTCATTCATTCACGTTGCTATGTAGCGTTCTGGTATCTCAACTGAAGTCAGTTC